GCAAATGTGAGCGTCGCTTTGAACTCGAGCGAATGGCGCCTACCGTGTCGTCCCAGCTAATGCACGCGTCAGTGATGCTCTTGCCGTACTCGAGCGGCATGTTGGGCACGAGCTTCTGCGCGCCTTCGACGAGGTTGGACTCGAGCATAAGGGCAACGATGGCAGCGTGTTTTTGATATGGTCTTGACGTAGTAGCAGCTTTTTCTTGCGGCGCAAGCACCTCGGGGCCGCCAGTGTCAGAAGGTAAGAGATGTCATTGCGCATTCCAGCCATAAAGTATGCGCTTTGAGAGGTAATTATTGACGCACTCACGTTCGGTCGGTCGTGGGAAATTTCCACGGAACACGTGGTTGGCAAATCTGGAATTTCCTATGGCGGCCACCAAAGATCGCGCAAGCAGGCGGCAGCGACGGGCCACGCGTCGGCCGTTCACTTGCAATCTTCGATGGCATCTTCCAGCAGCAACCACCTCACGCTCGGCCTCGCCATCACAGCCGTCACGCTCGCATGGGCGAGCACGGTCGGCGTCGTCGTCAGCCTCTACTTGCAGCGCTCGTCGGCGTCCGCGGCCCCGACCAAGCCCGAGGTCCGCGCCCGCGAACACTCGATCTTGAACAAGGGCGACGCCAAGGTCATGGACAAGCAGAACCTCGTCGACGTGCACATTGCGGATATCCGCCCGCTCTTGCCGCCGGCGTGCTTGCTCGAGGAGATCCCACGCACGGTGCGCATTGCGCGGACGGTCAACAAGGGCCGACAGAGCGTCGCCAACGTCCTGCGCCGCGTCGACGACCGCCTCGTCGTCGTCGTTGGCCCCTGTTCGATCCATGATGTCAAGGCCGCCAAGGAATATGGTACGCCACGCCCCTCAGTTGTGCGCCTAACCTTATCCTAACTAGCCAACAAGCTCAAGCCGCTCTGTGATGCGCTCGAGAAGGACCTTGTCATCATCATGCGCGTGTACTTTGAGAAGCCGCGGACGACGGTCGGCTGGAAGGGCTTGATCAACGACCCGGACATTGACGGCACGTTCAACATCAACAAAGGCCTCCGCCTCGCCCGTGAGCTCCTCGCCGACATCAACGAGATGGGCCTTCCGGTGCGTAGGCTCTATGAAAGCTAGTCCTTGAAAGATTGACGACGTCGACGGCTATAGGCGGGCTGCGAATTTCTGGATACGATTTCGCCACAGTTCTTTTGCGACCTTGTGAGCTGGGGTGCGATTGGTGCGCGCACGACGGAATGCCAGCTCCACCGCGAGCTCACGTCTGGTCTCTCGATGCCGATTGGCTTCAAGAACGGCACGGGCGGGTCGTTGCAGCTGGCTGTCGACGCCGTCGTCTCGGCCGCGCACCCGCACTGCTTCCTCGGCGTGAGCTCCCACGGTCTCGCAGCCATTGTTCACACCAACGTATGTTCTGTCAATTTACTCCGGGCACGGCATTCAATCCAAAGGGATATATATGTAGGGCAACGACGCTTGCCATGTGATTTTGCGCGGTGGCAGCACAGGTCCCAACTACGCCAAGGAACACGTCGACAAGGTGGCGGGTCTTCTCAAGAAGGTGCACCAGTCGGAAAACATCATGGTCGACTGCTCCCATGGCAACTCGAACAAGAACCACATGAACCAAGCCGTCGTCTGCGCCGACGTGGTAGGCGACTTTTATCGAATATGCCGCAAGAAAAAGCTGCTACTACGTCAAGACCATATCAAAAACACGCTGCCATCGTTGCCCTTATGCTCGAGTCCAACCTCGTCGAAGGCGCGCAGAAGCTCGTGCCCAACATGCCGCTCGAGTACGGCAAGAGCATCACTGACGCGTGCATTAGCTGGGACGACACGGTAGGCGCCATTCGCTCGAGTTCAAAGACGACGCTCACATTTGCGTAGGTCGCTGTCCTCCATCAGCTCGCAGAGGCCGTCCGCGCGCGCCGAGCGACCAAGAAGTGAGCACGATGGGATGATGACCTAGACGATATAATCAATTTCGACCTTTTGCTCTACTACTTGACAAACCTACAGAGGGAAACCAAACGACATAGTTGACGCCAATGCATGCTCCATGATGCGGCTTGTCGGGTTCGTTTGCGTCATGGTCTTGGTTTGCATCCCAATAAAGGACACTGTTTATATGACAGTTTACTATCCCGCACCTCGTACCAGACAGCGCGACCAAGCCCTGCTAATAATTATTGATGCACCGTGCAGTCAGTACGTCATGCACCGGGTGGCATCGAAGCAGCTCCACCGAGCTGTGGACGCGCTCGCGGGCAGCGGCAGCGTCCTTGCTCGTTCATGCAGCCTCTTTCCTTGGTCGTGTCAAGCGCACGCTACTCATCGCTGCGCATGGTGACCTCGCGCCACGACCTCGCGCAGCCACCGCTGTCGCAGGCGTCACACCAGTCTCCAGCGTGAGCAGCACCGGCGCATCCTCGATCGCGCTGCCTGGGAGGGCCCTCGCGCGTGGTCTCCTGGGGCCATGGGCTCGACCATGGCTGTCTCTTTCTTGCCTGCAGTCGTCGTCAATGGTCGCCCACTGACCACTGACCGCTCCAAGGCGGTTGCTGGATTTCTGAAATCCAACGACTGTTGTAGATCCAACAGCCGTTTTTGCACAGTTGCACCTGGGTCGGATACCATATGGCGCTGCGGTTACGTCGCTCGGATCGCGTGCTCCGTTTGCGCCGCGTCTCGGCCGTTTTTAATGACGTTTATGTACATGCACGCGCCGACGACAAATGTGACAAAAGTGCAGTTGTACCGGGGATCGAATCGCCGGCCAACGAAATTGACCGGTAGCGTAAAATCGCATTCTAATTCGTATTGGCTGTACTCTCAACTCGAAATCGCCAATCACACGTTATCCGGACACCATGACAACCGTCTTCGATCGCCTCTCCGCCCCTCGCACCCGCCTCTTCTCGGAACGTGCCGCGCTCAAAATCGCCCGCGAAATGGCGGAGTGCACGTTCCGGCCGCAAATTAACCGGCGCCATCCGGTCAAGTCGGCACCTGCCACCAAACCGGCGCCGGTGTCTCGGCCCAAAGTGGCGCCTGTCACGGCTGTAACACGACCCAAAGCGGCACCTGCCACCAAACCGGCGCCGGTGTCTCGGCCCAAGGTGGCGCCTGTCACGGCTGTAACACGGCCCAAAGCGGCACCTGCCACAAAGTGCACCGCCGTAACGGCGGCGCTACGATCGGCACACGCCACTACACAGGTGCCGCCAATCACGCACAAAGCGGCACCTGCCACAAAGAGCACCACACAGCTGGTACAATCGGCACCTGCCGCCACAAAGGTGCCGCCAATGACCCCCAAAGTGGCACCTGCCACCTGGGAACATTCCCGGAACTCCATCGGCGAGGCCGCCATTCGGATCCTGCGCGAGGCGCGCCTCAAGCACCTAGCGCAACAAGCATAACACGAAAATAATGAAACTAATAAAACTTGTCTTTTTCTTCGAGCAACTACGGTCTACAAACATGAGGAGGTGTTGTCGTGATGGGGTCATGTTGTACAAACATGAGGCGACACATGTTGACGACACGTGTTGACGACACGAAATGAAGACAGATTGTCAGCGCACGCAGAGGTGAGCGCAAGACTGATGCGGTGTCTATGGCAGAGCTGAGGACGCGGTGTCCATGGCAGACCTGAGGAGGCATCGTCGCATTGGTGCGTGCATATTCGAAGCAACGACCCTCAGCTGCACGCTGCAGCTGGGCATCCGAACCACATGCTCTCGGCGCAATACCAGTTGGTACTCAGCGCTGTTGTTGAATGGAGGTATTGTTACCCATGATTGTTACCATACAATTGTATAGCGCACTCTCTAATGCGATTGTAAAGCAGGCCGCTGCGTCAAGCAAGGAACCTTGTTGCGGGACTGCGCGAGGAACGAGGTAGCGCCAAGGGGTGTCGCGGAGAGCGTGAAGCGACTCGGCGAGCGATGACACCACGCCTCGACGAGCAAGTGCTGGGCGTGCAAGCGTGTTGTAGTAGCTGCCTCGGTAGCGGCAGGATGCCCCGCGCGCGGTTTAATGATTCAGCTTTGGAATACCCTTCTCACGTTAGCTGTAACTCCAACCAGTACGAGTCAGGCCCGTGTTAAGTTTAGACTCGACGATCCATTTTCAGCGCGCGATGGGGCCAGGTGACATGGAGCTCTCGCCGCATACCACGGGAGCGACGCCGCCACCGACGACCGATACCATGGACGATGCGACAGTGTCCATCACGACACCCGAGACACGGCGCACGATGCGGCGTCGCGCGACCGACGCCGCCATCCAAGACGATGCGACGATGGCGGTCTTGGCTCGGACGGCCGGAACTGTCTTTCAAAAGCACTATGGCGGCGATGTCTTTGGAACGCGCACCGAGTCGATCGACGGCCTCGTGTACCTTTCGCGCATCCGCCTCAGCGACAAGCCCAAGAAGAGCCTTGTACACACCAAGATGGCAGTCGTGCGCGCCGTGAGCCTCCGCGCGCATGTCGACACCAACGTCGTCGACGACGCCGCCTTCCGCACCAAGAAGCGACAGTGCGCCATTACGTTCGAGAAGATGGTGTACGCGCGCCTACGCGACGACAATAGCGGCATCAAGGCTCTTTTGGACAACGGCATTGTGCCTGCGCTCTTGGCGCTCACCGAAGTGCCCGACATTCAGACCCAGCTGCACTGCGCCCGCGCCTTTTACGGCCTTGCGCGAGTGCCCAGCACACGGCGTCTCATGGTGCTTAATGGCGTCATTGGCACGGTCGCGCAGCTCGTGCGTCACGGTAGGCTCGCATGTGCAGCAACGCCATTTTGCACTGGATACGGCATGAATAGATTTCAAGAATGCGCCGCTGCAGCTCCGCTTGAAGCAGGATTACGCTGCGATTCTATGTCACTTGACCGAAGAGGTCTTCCTCGAAGAAAAGATGCTCCATGAAGGCGTCGACCGTGTCCTCGCCAAGCTCTATCGCTGCCATAGCTCCGAGACGAAGCGAATCGTGGGCCTTGCGTACTTTAACCTGAGCCACAACACGAACCAGCTCAAGCACAACATTGACGGCTTTATGCAAACGCTCGCGGTCATTTGCAAGAGCATCAACATCGTGCACCACACGACGTCGTCGACGCTGTACCTCATCAAAGCGATCTACAATTTGACGCAAAACCCTGCATTTCACAACATTTTGATGGCCGAGAGCGCGCACCGGTACCTCGCCCTGCCGATTCTGCACTACCAAAAGCTCCACTTCCACAAACGCGACGCCCACGCCGTCGAAGTCGAAGCCATCCAAGTCGGACTTCTTGGGCTCTTTTCAATTTCGCTCATCAAGTCGGGGCGCCAGCACATCATCCAAGACAACCTCGTCGTGTACATCGTGTCGTGCCTCGGCTTGGTCAACTCGAGCGCGCCCGACACGGTCTGCTCGATCTTGTACCAGCTCTCAACAGACGAGGCATGTCGCGACGCAATCGTCCACGAAGTCAAAGCGATCGTCGAGGCCATGCCCAACTGCTCGCCGTATGGGTACTTTGCACTTTCGTGGGTCTTTCGCAACTTGTGTGCAACCAAGACCATCTACCCGTCGCTGGTCGACGCCGGCGTGCTGCCCGTGCTCCTCGACATGAGTCGCCACGACCACGACGAGGTCAAACTCAACGGCATTAGCTGCGTCGTGTGCTTCTTAGAGTTTGATTTGCACCTTCAAGCCGCGGTCGACTGCCTTGAATTCATCCTGCAAGACCTCATCGGTCTCCTCAGTGCACCGCAGCCCACGATCGTCATTTTCGCGACCACGGCGCTCTTCAACTTATCGTGCAACGACGCGCTGCAGCCTCTACTCTGCGCGCCCAAGGCTGGCCTCGTACCGGCTCTACAGCAGCTCGTCGTGGTGCGGCGCGCGCACACACAAGGCGAGAAGGCCGTGACGGCCGCGCTTCTGCCGCTGCTCTATCGTCTCTCGTGCAACGCCGACAACCGCTTCCTCATGGTCCAAGCCGACTTTTTCGGCTTCGTTGCCGCGGCGATTCCGTCCACGAGCGCACACGTGCGCCAAGCCGCGCTCGACACGTACACATAATATATACGGTCGATTGCATGACACGATCGGTGCCTAGGATGCTCAACTTTTCAACCGAAGAAGACCACTTTCCGCAGGGCACGGACGACGTCAAGAGCCTGCTCAAGACACTCTATGCATTAAAGACCAACCACGATGCACCGGCGCTCCGGTCGTGCGTCTCGCTGCTCTCGCATCTCACGGCGACGCCGCCGAACCGCGAGTTGTTGCTCAAGACGGGCTGTGTCGTGTGCCTCGAACGCATGTGCAACTCGGCCGACGACTTTATCATGGCCAACTGCGCGCACATCCTCTACAGCCTCACCGAGACGGCCGACGCAGTCGACCGCGTCCTCCGCGAAGGCGCGATTCCCATCTTGATTCAGCTCAGCCGCGCGTCGTCGGACCACGTCAAGCATCTCTGCCTCATGACGTTTACGCGCATCTCGTCCTTCTCGGGCATCAACGTCGAGACGAAACTCGTGGACCAGGGTGCGATTGCCGCCGCGATGATCATGGCGCTTGTCGCGTCCAAGAGCGACGCGATCAAGACGAGCTGCGTTCAATTGCTTTCCAACTGCCTTAGCATCCAGTCGAAACACTGCACCAAGGTCATGGTCGAGAACGGTGTCTTTTGGGCGCTGAGGTTCAATTACTCTGCGGCGCTTTGATGTACTCAATGTACCCATCATTCTAGCTCGCTTGCGACGCTGCCGGATGCGCACACGAAGCGCATCTGCGCGATCTGCTTTTGCAACATTGCGATCGCGTACCCTGTCAAGATGGTCGAAGCCGGCGTACCGCGGTCGCTCGTGCACCTTCTCGAGGCAGGCGACACGGACACTCTCGTCGTGGCACTGCAAGCGATCGCCAACATTGTGCAAAACGACAAGGTGCCACATGGTCTAGCGTCACATATGCAATGTCTTTCTGGCGTGTAGGCGTGCGCGATTCTCGTGAGCGAAGGGCTCGTCAAGCTGCTCCGGAGCCTTGTCGAAAACAAGCACCCGCAGGTGTGGCACGCGGCCGCGATCGCGCTGCTTCAAATGACGCGCGCCGATGACAAGTGCCGCGTCGACAACGTCCGCAACGGCATCATTCCGTGGATGCAGTCCGTGCTGCACGAGCAGTCGATTGCGCTGCAGTGCCTCGTGATGCTTGGCACCATCTCCGCGTACGAGCCGGCGCGGAAGCTCATGGTCGCCCCCGACCTCATGGACCTCTTGCGCGCCGTGAGTGCGCCCGACCTGGCGCGTCAATCTCTCTGTGTCCAGATCGTCTACAACACATCGTGCGAATTGAGCCTCGCGGCCGACCTCGTTCGCGGCCACGCGCACGCCTTCTTGGCGTCCTGCCTGCCTGGTGGGTCGCCCGAGCTTCAGGTTTCACACGCAGCATGTCCGTACCAACACACAACCTTATACCTGTAGGGCATGTGTGCGGGCGCCGTCCACAACTTGACGTGTGTCCAAAACGACGACGTTGTCGCGACGCTCGTCCAGAGCGGCGTTGGCATGCTGCTGCAGACACTGTATATGCTCGAGACACTGGCCGCCGCGGACCGCGTCTGGTGCGTTCTCGCGATCTGCAACCTCGCCCTCGGCAAGGTCAACACGGCGCGGCTCGTCCACGACAACGGTGGCGTCGTGCTCATCGACTTTGTGCAAGCCTTTCGACAAGCATCGCTGCCCCTCGGGCTCTCGGCGCACGTGGTCCAGCGCCTCGTGGCCGCCGCGATGCGCAAAATCGTCGCGCCGCCCGGCAACCAAACCGTGCCGTCTCCATGTCGTATCAAGTTGATAGAAACCAATACCTTGCACTGTAGGCGCTGCTCGAGATGGGGGTCTCGCCGCGCTCGTCGACCTCACGCGCGTCGGCGTCGATGAGCACATGCGCGTCAACTGCCTCGAGTCGCTCCACGTGCTCACGCGCAACACGGCGCACATTGAGCGCTGCCTCCGCGACGGTCTCCTCACGTGCGTTTTGGAGGTCGCTGACTGCACGTCCCCGCGCGTTCGCGGCCTCTGCTTTACGATACTCACCAACATTTGCGCGATCGATTTTGACGCGCACCAGAGCGGCAACGTCATTGCGTACCTCTCCCAACTCTCCGAGTGTAAGCCGGCGCAGTTGACGCCGTCGGACAACGACCGCTACGACGTTCGAGGCATCGACGCACCGCTGCCACTGGCGCCGCTGCACACAGCGTACATCGCTGCAACGCCCGCGGCCAATTTGGGCGTGGAAAACACGCCGTTTCTTGTACCGTGGACCAAGTGGCACGAGAAGACGCGGCCCGAGCTGCCACCGGCGATCCCAACGGTTGTGACGCCCGTCAACATTGCAGTTTTTACACGGAATCTCCCCGACTCGTTCAAGCTGCCGCACACGGAGGTGCTGCCAAAGGAGCCACTGACTCGGGACGACGGCGGCACGGACGCGGCGGGCAAGTACGTCGTCGGCTTCAAGAGCCTCATCAAGCTCCAACTCCAGGCACACAAGATCACGCACCAACTGGGGCGGCGCCACCATGTCGTCGGCAAGACGCCGATCGAGCACGAGCTCGCGGCCGACGCTGCGATCGCCGCCGACGCCACTCGCCGCAACACCCGGCGCAGCCCCATCGTGCCAGGCAGCTTAGCGCCATTGGGCCCGCCCGTGCGCCTCCGACGCGCGAGCTCGGCCGCGTTTATGAAAGCGCCGTAACACTTTCTACTGTCATACGATTTACTACTTGCATCGCGCATGCGTCGTGACAACGCGCACGCAACGAAGGGTGCCATTTTAGCTCCCAAATTTTGTTCCTCTCGGCCACCCGCCACCATGAGGTTAGGGGTACGACGTGGTTGTTGTTGAAGTGGGTCGTCTATTACTATAGATAAAACTATGCTAAATAAAATTGTCGGACTTTCTTCGTTGTGTGTACTCGGTTGAGGGACTTGGTTTAGGCAGGCGGAGGCAGGAGCGCGATCCGCGGGACGAGGTGCCGTCGCGGCCACTCGTGGTGGGCGAGGAGCCGGAGAAGCCGACGAAGAGCAGGCTGCTCGGGCTCTGGATGACGTGGTGCTGTGAGTGTTTTGGTCGCTTGCACGCCTTGACGCTGGCAAGCTTTTTCGAGTCTAAAAGCGTGGCCGTGTGAATCGAAGTGATGGTGTGATATGATATGATTTGATATGATATAGATTGAAACCTTTATACAGACTAAGGACTCAACCTACTAAGACTTACGTACTAGATGTGTGTTGAAAGTTGGCTGCTGAAGGCTCTTCAACGTGCTGGAGCTCATCGGCCAGTAATACGTCGTGCCGTCCGTCGTCGGGATGCGCGTACGAGGTACAGTCGTCGTGGTGCGAGCTTGGACAAATGATGCGTGGCTTGGTTAAACTCGCGAGAGTGGTGTTCCCATGTGCACGTAAAACATGCCGCAAGCTCCCGCGCCTGGACATGCAGCTTCTGCAAGCGAGCCTCTTGGACTCGGAAGATGCCCTACATCTGCTGCATCAACAACACGCTGTCACCGCGTAGAATCGAAGTGATGGTGTCCAGGATGATGCTGTGTCTTCCGACAACATATAAGATCTCGTTGTCGATCACGAGACGTGGATTCGCCGCAACCAGAGCGCCCACACAATCCAGACAACGTCATAAACACAGAGAGGAAGGGCGGGCACATATCGAGGAGTCAGTGCTTATGCTATTGAGCATCGCCTGCCATGGTGCGGAATGGAGGTAGCGGTTCAGAGCCCGACGTCGGGTCGGTCCAAGGAGGCTGTGTGCCAAGTCACTTGTAGCAAGAAGTGCACCTCTGTAAAGGTGCGAGGTTGCTCAAGGTGCGAGGTTGCTCAAGATGGTAATTCATTTTACCAAGGTCAACCGAATCTGGCCTCGTTCGTAACTTCGCGATCTATGGGCGGTGGCGCAAGGGTCAAGTCGAAGGTCAAGGTTGAGACGGTTGTGAAAACGAGTCAGTTTGCCGCATCCGACGATGATTGGTCAAAATTACTTCCAGCCATGAAAATTCGCACAGCCCAAGTCCGTCCCAGCGCCCGACGCGGCCGATGCAGTGCCCCGAGACGCCCCAGAACAGCCCGACGCTACGGGCCCGGCCATCGAGCTCGGGCCCACTCATGAAGAGCGACGGCGCGACCGCCAACATCTGCCTCTCCAAGTGGCCATCGCTCGACGAGGCCCACTTCTCCAAGTACCAGCCCAGCGTGCCCATGGTGCGTCGCCTTCCTGCGTCGCCATCTCAGTGGACGAGTCTGTAGATGCGCACGCCCGAGACATACACGCCGGTTCATGCCGACGAGGCGCCGCCTAGCCAAGGTCCGTGACGCTGGCGACTCTTCGCGCCTAACGCATATCCATTCTAGTGATCTCCGCCGAGCCTCTCCATGCGCTCCTGCGCATGTTTTACCGTAGCACCGACAACAAAAAGGTATGCTGAGCTCACACGAGCGCACGCCCACGCTATCCCTAGGCGGCCTCGAAGCGTGACGTACCCGACGACGACGCGGACCGGCCGACCAAGGTCGCTCGCTCCAACTAGCCGTCACCATGGACACTCGCCGACAGTGTCCTTGTAGGAACAAGTAGTCGTAGTAGCAATAGGTTCTTTTTATAAGTCAATGGGCATCATTCGTCCCGCAAGAACGCGTCGAGGTCGGCGTCGGCGCCAAGCGCCAGCTGGTCGGTCCACTGCAGGAACGAGTTGAGTTCGTCTTCGTCGACGGACGCCGTGTCATCGTCGTCGTCGACCTCGGGCCGGGACGCATCGATCGGCGGCAAGTGCACTACCTCCGTCTCTCGAAGCAGCGTCGCGGTCCGTGGGCCCTCGATGGGCGCTGGCACGTGCGGCGACAGTACCGGGGGCAGCACAGTGGCGCAAGGAGCCTCGCTGTCGTCGTGTTTCTTCCATTGCGCGTACGCATGCTTACGCTGAACGACGGCTTCGATGCCACTGAGCGGCTTGGGTTTGGGGCGCGGTTTCTTCGCCGTGGGTTTCGACGGCGTCTTTCGCGGCAGTGGCAGCGACGTCGGTGGCTTTGCCGGCTCTTGATTGCTCGTGCGCTTGGCGCGAAGCAGCGGCGTCGCGAGGTCCTTGGCCGATGCGCTCGGCTTGCGCGCGGGCTTGGACCGCGTCTCGAGGAGCATACCAGGCAACTTGGCCAAGAGCGGCTCCATCATTTGGCGGATGCTATCCGCCATGAGCCTTTGCACAAACGCATAGTATGCACTACCTCTCTTCGTCGGCCAAGGTGCTCTTGAGCTTCTCTTCCCATTCCTGCTTGAGCTTTTGGATCGCAGCGTCCTGGATCTTGGCGAGCTTGTACTCTTGCCATGGCCCGATGTACATCGCAGAGGGCGTTTCGCAGGGTCCGTTTCGCGCAGCCCATCGCCGTCGTACGCTCGCTCAATGACCCGCTCGCCGATCACTCGCCGATCTTGGTGATGACCACCGTAGATGTCGCAGCACCCTGTGGCTAATAGCTCGTCTGGATCGTTGGTCCAGCTGCTGCAGCGCGGCCCAGCGCGGCAACCTGCCTCCCACTAGTCCGAAGGCGCGACGACCTCCACATACAGGACGTCTACCTTCCTCGTGCATGCGCCATCATCGCACGACGGCGCCTCGCCATGCAGCAGGATCGCAGCTCGGGCAATTTGCGGCGCTCGTGTGACTCACGCGTTCCTAGTCGAACGGATAGCGTCTTCGGTCAGTTTTATCTTGGCGTTTGTATGCTCGGGTACGCGGGATATCCCAGCTGGCGGGCGCGGAGAGAGTCTGAGTCGAGAATAGAATGCGTTTTCATACAAAGATCAAGTGTACATAAAATCTCCCACCAACACCATCGATGGCGAGAGGAGAGTGCACTGCATTTTAATACGACACATTTTATTTTTCATACAAAAAAGACGTATGGGACAACGCACACGGGTTTAAATCGCAGAGAGGAGAGCGCTCTGGGAGAAACTGGGTTTACCTAGTTGCCGTCTTCTATCGTCTAGAGGAAGAGTCGAGCGATCGCTTGCTGCAGAATGGACTCCGCCATGGCGCTGCGCCGCCGCCTCGAGTCGCCCAACGACGCGCCGACCAACTTCTTCTTCTACGCGTCCATCATCATCATGTTCGTCTCGTGCGGCTTGTACAACTTCTTCTTCAAGCGCCGGCTCGAGGCGCAGCTCCTCGCGCAGCAGCAGGTCCAGGAGCAGATCTACCGCCAAGACGTCATTGCGAGCGACCAAGACATGGACAACCTCTGGGCGTGCGAAGTGTGCGATTTCAAAAACTACGACGGCCACAAGACGTGCATCCTCTGTGGCACCGAGCGCGAGTTCTCGCTGTATGGGAAGACGACGTCTTCCAAGCGCGGTCTGGACGAGACCAAGTCGACCGAGTTTGTCTTGATGAACGACGCAACGCCGCGGACGCTCCAGAAGCAGCGGCTCTTTCTTAAGAGCAAGCTCAATAGCCTCAACGCGCGGCAAAAGGGCGCGCGGCGCCGCCATGACTGGGTCCGCAACTATGACGAGAGCGTGGGTCACATGGTGTGGGGTCGAAAGAAGCACGAACGGACTCTCAAGCGCATCGCCAAGCCGCACGACCATGCGATCGATACGCTCGAGAGCCACCCGCTGGGCATCCTGCGCGACTCGTCGTCGAGCGTCGGATCCGTCGGCAGTGTCCAGAGCGTCGGGTACATCTCCAAGCTCATTACGTCGCCGTCGAACCCGGATGGCCGCATGTCGTTCGAGATGGCCGAAGGCCAAAGCGCGTCCCAGAACTTTGTGCACAACGGCGCAATGGTGTTTTCGCCGGCCGAGCTCAAGACGGTCTCGGGCCTGACGTTCCAGCAAAAGCACGCGTGGTTTGTTCAGTACACGTCGACGATGGAGATTCCGTGGGAGTATGGCCACATGCTGCTTGAGATTGATCGGTCCAACTTACTGCACAACTCGTGCGAGCAACTTCTGTGGGCGACGCCGGACCAGCTGCACCAGTCGATGCGCATCAAGTTTATGAACGAGCCGGGCGTCGACGCGGGCGGCCTCGAGCGCGAGTGGTTCACGCTCATGACGCAAGAGATCTTTGACGAGAGCACGGGTCTCTTCTCATCGTGCATGGGCCACAACGCGTACATGATCCGTGCGACGTCGAGCGAGGCCAGCGAGGACCACCTCATGGTACGACAAGCAAAACCTTGGTTTGTGGTCAATTCTCACACCCATATGCTAGTACTTTCAAGCCATTGGGCGGTTTCTCGGCCGCGCGCTCTTTGAAGGCATGCTCATTGACGCCCACTTGTCGCTGCCCATGTACAAGCACATCCTGGGCATCCCGATTACGTTTTCCGACCTCGAGTTTATTGACGTCGACTTGTACAACAACCTGCGTTGGCTCAAGCAGAACCGAGGCGTCGAGTCGCTCTGCCTTGACTTTAGCGTCAGCGTCGCTCAGTACGGCTCTGCGCCATTGACGGTGGATTTGTGCCCGAACGGCCGCAACATTCCGGTGACGGACGACAACAAGGACGAGTATGTCTACCGGCGCTTCAAGTGGATCATGATGAGCAGCATCTCGTACCAGCTCGCGTCGCTTGTCAAGGGCATCTACAGCGTCGTGCCGGCCGAGCTCCTCTCGGTGTTTGACCACCAAGAGCTCGAGCTGCTCATGTGCGGCATTCCCGACATCAACGTGGCCGACTGGAAGGCGCACACGACGTACCTCGGCGAGTGCGACGCGATGGTCATCGACTGGTTTTGGGAAATCGTCGAGGACTTTAGCACCGAGCAGCGTGCCCGCCTTCTTCAGTTTACAACCGGCTCAGCCCGCGTGCCGGTCCAGGGCTTCAAGACACTAACGATGAACGACGGCCGCATCTGCCTCTTTGCGATCCAAGGCATCCGAAAGGAAGAGTGCTTGTACCCGCGCGCCCACACGTGCTTCAACCGGTGCGATGCCAATATTGCTATTGTCGTGCAAAAGAAGCTCATCGATCCATGTGTAGCCTCGATCTGCCCATGTACTCGACAAGGAAAGACCTCGAGACGGCGCTCATGATGGTACGACACGTTCTGATATTTCACTTGGCGATGCTGAAGTATATGCCTCTAGGTGATCAAGATGGAAGTCACTGGGTTCACTATCGAGTGAGTCGTCGTTGCTGTCCGTGCTGTGCTTTTTATCTAATATACAAGTTGCCTTTGTGTATCGCTAAGAAAAACGCAATGGAGCGTTGAGATTCGCGTTCAGATTCAAAAGACGTCGACACATCTCACGCCGGGTCGTGCTCCCAATACACGGGTGTCCTGCCGTCGTACGTAAAGCCAAAGTGCTCAAACCCTGGGAGGTCAACTTCCGGCTCGGTGCCCTCCGTGGACGAGTAGTCGCAGCAAAAGTGCTGCGTCGCGGTCGAGGGCATTGTCGAGAGGTCGAGGGCGGGTGGACTCATGGGGGGCCGCCGATGCCGCACGACTAGACAACCAGATCCGATTGTATCAACGCAGTATCAAGTTGAGATACGTACGAGCCCAATTGATACTTTTAAAGAACGCATGCGCTTTGAGGGTCGACGGTGCCAGCATGCGCAACGTGGCGTCCTACGCGCGTGGGTCACGACCTCTGCGATACAAAGAATCAAGTTGTCACCAAGGGAAGAACTAGTTATTCCCTTGGTTGCCACGAACCTTTTCTAGCAGTAGGAAGAGGAGGTCTCGGCACGCGGGGCTCACGGCGGGCGCAATGGGCAAAAAAAGATCTTGGTGGAGGATGTTGCGCTTGGTTTCCTCCTGTAGAATCGAGTCTACGTCAGACAGACAACATGTCCATCGTCCTCGTACGTCGTTGGTGCCTTGAAAGGGTGTCGTGCCAAAGAGCATCTGAAACATGATGATGCCGAGGGCCCACCAGTCGAGCGCGGTCGAAGGCAGTGCATTCTGAAACCCTTCAGGGGCTGTGTACTCGCACTCTCCGTCGTCCAAAAGGTCGTTGGCAATGTGCTTGGGCGGGCGCAGCGACGGTGGTGTCGGGGGCGCGCTTGAGGGCCCTAAATCATACGTCCCGGCGTCTTGCGGCTTGACTTGGTTGGGGCAACAGCACAACTGTTGCCGACGTCGGCGCTTGCACGTTGCCGCGAAGTTGCGCATCGAGCGGTCGAGTCGCGACGCGTTCCCAAAGTCGCAAAGGATAAGGTGTCCCGTTTCATGCACGAGGATGTTGTTTGGTGTCAGGTCTACGCCGCGTGTTCACAGTTGTCGTGTTAAGTTCGAGGCGCGCACCGCGGTGGACGATGCCGAGCGTGTGGAGGTACTCGAGGACCACGACAAGCTCGGCCGCGTAGAACTGCACGGCGGTCTCCTACGCACCTACTGCGTCTCGAGGTCATCTTGCGTCGCAGTGTACCGATAAATAGCGTGCCTTGGTCAAGAAACCTTGCAAGGGGCCGCCTGGGCAGTACTAGGAGAGAGTGCTGCAAGTATGCACAATAGTGTCGTCTACTACCTGCATGACGAGGTAGAGATAGCGCTTGGTTTGAAAGGCGTAGTAGAGTTTGGTTACGAAGGGGTGGGCGATTTTGGCGAGGATTTCGCGTTCATTGAGGACACGGAGCTCCTACATCCACGGCATGAGACGCTTCTTTCCCCCACTGAGTTGGTTGGTACGTAATGCCGGCGCAGGACGAGAGCCTTCTCCATGATCTTCATGGCAAACACGCCGTTGCTCAAAAGGCCCTAACAAGCTGGTCCAGAAGCTAGCAGCAGTAGCAAAATACCTTGCTCTGGACGAGGTACACGCGGGCGTAGCCACCAGACCGCAGCAGTCGGAGCTTCTCAAAGTGGTGGACGCCGACACTGTCCATCACGAGCACATGCTCCGCCGTTGGGTTGTACCTTCCGTAACGGCGCCGATGAAACTTCTGGACAAGGAGCACCTGTATTGGAGGTGGGTGCGCTTATCACATACCATTGAAGCGAGCAGGTTTCATTGCGTTCGCACCAAGCTTTCTGGTCTAGTACCGGTTCTCGGTGGCTCTCCGAACGTGCCGAGGGACTTTTCTGCAACCAGTGCAGTACAACAAGGTCGCGGCGATGGTAGCGCAGGATTGCAAGATCAAATAGCACACCATGCCCTCGACGCAAAAAACAATCGAGCACATGACCCCTCTACGCTTCCTCAACTCTCACGACGCGATGCAGCTCGGACATGAAGCGCCAAAGACACATGCGTAGTCTCAGGCATACCGGGTACCGGGTACCAGAATCGCAGAGTTGGAGTCGTGGGGTTGACGAGGTGCGTCTTTCGTAAGGTTTTCGGTGCGCTTTTGCCGTCGCACAGCCACGTTTTCATTGGCGGACACATGATGGACGAGACGTACGAGGCCAAGCTCGAGCGCAAGACGGCGGAGCTCCGGCAGCGCAAGAAGGACCGGCGCCGAGAGCTGCTCTGCTCCATGACCGCAGGTCTTCTGCTCGAATATGCAAGCTTCACCTTATCGAACGAGCTCTGTAGACGAACGCCGGGCCTTTCTCGACGCCGAGGCCATCGAGTCCGTCAAGTGGAAAGACCGGCTCGTCGCCGCGCAGGACCATGGCCAGCGCCTTGTCATTGACTGCGGCTATGACGAGATTATGAGCGACAAGGTTCGCGCTTGAGTCGCGTCCGAAGATGATTCGACCGACATTAGGAGATCAACAGTCTCTCCAAGCAAATCAAGTTTAGCTACGGCACGACCAAACGCATGCGCGCGCCCTTTGCACTCACAATTGCCAACTACCACGGCCGCATTGAAGTCGCACTCCAGCGCTTCAGCATCAGCAACTGGGCCGTCCGCGCGTCGCCGGCTCGCGTCGACGAGCTCTTTCTTCCCGAGGTCGTCAGTGTCGCACCGATATGTGCACCTACCATTAGTAGGAGCTGGTGTTTCTGACGCCCGACGCGAGTACCGTCCTGTATACGCTCGACCCCACCAAGGTGTATGTCATTGGTGCGTCCTGACCTGGAATCGATCCCTCGACTAAAGTGACGGCGTGTAGGGGGCATCGTCGACCGTTCCCGGGTCAAGGTAGACGTGAATGAGATGAGCGCTCTGTGGGTTTGAGCGCTTTGGACGTATTAGGGCCGCTCCCGGGCCGCGGCCGATACCATTGGCGTCGCTACCGCACGTCTTCCCGTCCAAGAATGCATACCCGACCGTCTCAACGACCATATCCTCAACGTCAACACCGTTGTCGACGTTCTCGCCGCCGTGCACGGTGGCGCCACCTGGCCCGACGCCCTCGGCGCCTGCCTCCCCAAGGTAAGGTCGTCGTCGTACTGCCTGTTACATGTTGTTTCTCACTCCATTTCTTAGCGCAAACAAGCAAGCACAAGTCGACGGGCCAAGAAGCGCGAGCCAGCGCGAGCGACCACGCACGGGGCCACGGTTCCAAGTACTACTTGCCTTGCAACCGATTAAACACCCCAGAAACTGAGTACTTCGGACGTGGTCTCTTGGTCCTTGAAGAGCGTGAGCGCGGGATTTCCGTCGGCGTCGGTCGCGTAGCCGTACATGGCGGTCGACGGGCGGCTGTTGTACTTGGAGTACATGGCGACCGTGTACGCACCAGTGTCGTGAACGACGACATAGTCGCCGACTTGCATCTGTGGCAGCAGAATGTCCTTGGCCAGAAAGTCGCCCGAGAAGCAGAGCGGACCGGCAATGTCCTGCTTGACGAGCGGTCTAATGCACCCTTCGGATAAGACACATCTGCACCATCCTATCGTACCCTCGCTTCAAGACGCCGTCGGCCGTAAAGACCGAAAACGTGTGCGGCCATGCATGCGGGAGATACGCAGTGCGGAGAAACTGGTTGGCGCCGACGTGGATAACCGCGATGTTCTGGCCCGCCCAGTGCTTGGTCGCCTCGACGCGGCTCACGGTGATGCCCATCTTGGCAAAGACACTGCGTCCAAACTCGGTGATGATGCGGTACTGGCCCGAAAAGACCTGCGGCGCCGCATCCGCAAGCGCGGCAGCGTACGCAGCATACGACAAGTCCGAGGTCGGGATGCCGTCGTAGACGGTCGGGAGACCGCCGCCAATGTCGAGCACGCGAATCTGGCGCCGCTGCAGATGGGACGTGATCGTCTCGGCAAATGCGACCGCCCGCGCCGCGCCGGTGACGAGGAGGTCCATGGGACAGCCCTGGGACCCGACGTGGACGTGGATGCCTTGGAGCCACGGGTAGCGCTACATCATAGTAGTGTACACTGTGGCAGATTGTGGACAGATTGTCGTACGCTGAACAAGCCAAGCAGCGTTGCTTCCGTCGCCGGCGTCAACGGCAGCCCAAACTTGCTCGCGCTGGTGGCCGTGCTCGTCGACGCAATCGCGCCCGAGCCGACGACGGGGTTGATGCGGAGACCGATCTGACTGTCGTGCACACCGGGTGGCAGCGTCGCACCTGCCGGATAGAGCGCATGGAAGACGCGCTCGACCTTGGCGATCTCGTCTTCGTTGTCGAGGTTGATGTAGACGCCGGCTTGGATCGCAGAAAGAAGCTCGTCGTACGTCTTGCAGGGCGAGTCGAAGACGACCGAGCGCGGTGAGAACCCGAGCGAGAGCGCGTGCTGGACCTCGGCAAACGATGCGCACTCGGCGCCGCAGCCCGACGCTTGGGCCATGCGCAAGACGCTCCGCACAGGGTTGGCTTTGACGGCGACTGCGTGCGTAAAGTGGTCGCCAGCGAACGCGGCGTGGAGCGAGCGCAGTCGAGCTTCCAGCATCGGTGTCGAAATGAGGTCCATGACCGGGTACGGCACCGCGCTGACGGCGTGGCGCACGATGGCCGCGACGCTCTCGCCGCGCGCTGCATGCTGCGCCTCGACCTCATCGAGCGACGCCGGCGCCGCTTGGAGCACGAGCGACGACGGCGACAGCATTTCCTTGAGGAGGTCCTACGCTGCCATGCTACAGAAAGGCCACGCCATGCGATGGACGTACGACGAGCGAGAGTTGCACCGGCTCGTTCGGGTTCCAGCCCATATCCCGACAGATCTACGCGCATCGATGATGAGGCAAGGCTGAAGCGCCGCCATACCTCACGGGCCACGTCCAGCGCGGACGCGCCCGTTGCGTAGCGCGAGAGGTCGACCGTCGAGAGCTTGTCCATCGCCGAAGTTGTTGTGTTCCTTGACAAGATTATTTCCGTGTGCATTGAATAGTGTATGCAAACACTATTCCACGTCAAGTTGGATGCGATAGTTGCACACAGCAACTGTGCTTTTGCTTACGTGTACGGCCAGTCAACGCACTTCAGTGACAACGCGTGCGTCGATCGCTCGCATAAATTGCTTTCAGAAAGAGCAAGGGTCGTCAGCTCTTTGACAGCCAAGATCCGGGGTCCTTCGCGACCGACCGAAGGTACAGGCGGCGGTGACGTCCATGGGTTGACATCAGGGCTACTTGGAGGCATTCTGCTCGCACCACTTGCCCTGTAGACGACCACACGTCGTGAAGGTGCGGCAATCGTTGTGGTTGCGTCGGTCTTTGGCGTTGAGAGGCCACAGCTAATGTTCACGGGCAAACACGCGGGCAGCGTGGTCTCGGACAATAGTACAAGCACGAAGGGTTTAATGGGCTCATGCCACACGTGTCCCCGACCTCTCGCAAGACGCCGTGAGACTGACGCCAAGCGTCCGCGGTGCTACTATACGCACAGCATCGGACCTGTTTAGCTCCATTTTCGGAGCTACAAAGATATCTTGTCGATGGACAGAATTGATCGATACCGTGTTGTGCAAACAAAATGCAGATCTTGAGTGTGCATGGACAGAACTGAAGTGTACATGGACAGATCTTGAGTGTTCGGGACGTTTCATATATTCGACAGAGATGTCTCCATTAAAAAATGGTGGTAGTATTCTGCACAGCGGTGCCCACGTCGATCGTGATGGTGCCAGCGCTCACAAACCATTCCCGTAGGCAGCTCTGGTGCTTACGGTGGCTGCTCATGCGGCCAACCTCACGGCGCGGGTGGGACCCGACGCCTCCTTGAGCTTCACCGTGCTGCAAATTCCCGACGTTCACTTTACGGGCGACGCTAGCTACGCGTGCCGCGACGTGCCAGCCCATGGAGACCCGTGCACCGAGGCCAACATGACAGCGTTCCTGACCGAGCTTGTCGCGCACGTATCGCCCGACTTGGTTGTCTTTACAGGCGACCAAGTCGAAAACACGCAGCTGAGTCACGTGCGTTTGAGACATCACATGCATTTCCGAGGCATCATCATAGGACGTCGACGAGGTCAAGAAGGCCATCGACAGCTACGCGCGCCCTTTCATCGCAGCATCGGTACAGTGGGCCATGGTCTTTGGCAACCATGACGAAGGAGTACGAGTCTTGTTGAAGAGGCTAACGATTTTCATGGTTGGGCGGAGTAGCCGACCATGTCACGGCGCGAAATGCTCGCCTACATTGCGTCGCTGCCGTTTTCAAGAACAATCCACGGCCCCGAGACAGTCGACGGCAGCGGCAACTACCACCTCGACGCTCAGCACGACGCCAGGGCTGTGTTTCGCATGTACTTTATCGACACGGGCGTTGACGGCACCGTGCGACCGAGCCAGCACTCGTATCTGCGGTCCCTCGCGGCTTCCACAGCAGATCAAACCGTGCCAGCCATCCTCTTTGGCCATATTCCGATTCCAGAGTACGACCTCCAAGCCAACGAGTCGTCGCTCGTATGGGGTAAGAAGGGCGAGGTCGTCTCGTACGGTCCGCAAACGGGTCTTCTTGACACCATGGTCCAAAGTGCGATGCCGTAAATGGGAGACATTGGCTCATGCAACGGTATCGTCTCTAGTGGGCGACGTCAAGGCCATGTTTGTGGGCCACGACCACAGCAACAACTACTGCGTCCTTCGACAAGGCATCCAGCTCTGCTACGGCGGCTGCAGCGGCTACGGTGCGCACTCGCTTGTATACATCAATAACCGTAATATCCGTCGTCTAGGGAGAGCGTACAACCCCGAGAGCGCGTGGCGTACAGCCCGCGTGATCCAATGGCGGCAAATGAACGGCATGGACGCGATCGAGACGTGGGAGCAAGTCCACGGCAACTACACACAGAGTAAACATACGCTGTACCCGCTACCGAGTCGTTCTTCCGGCGCCATTCGCCGCAGCGACGCGTCAAGACTTGCGGCGTTCCACCTTGTCGCGCTCGTTGGGTGCCTCACGCTGTACGAGGACGTAGTGACTTGGTAGCATCTGTGGACCAAAATATACATGTATGCTCACGAACCAATACGGTGGGTGGAGTGATGGGTTGGGCTCGTTGCCTGAGGTTAGCACGGACGCGACCGGAGTCCATCATGCTTAGCTTGCAAGTGTATGGTTCTGCTGTGTTGATCAACGCGAATAAACGTCACATCTCATTTGGTCTAAATCAGGCGTCCTGTCCAAATTAGCACCCCGTTCAAACCATGACAAGCGGACACGTGGAGCCAGCCCTCGTTGCCAAGTCGGCGCACCCGACATAGGCGCTGCAGCCTGTGCACTCCACGTACACGCTCGAGCGCAACTCGCTCCACCACAGCGCGTTCCACAAACCCATGGTTGGTCGTGACCCGAAAGAGTCCAACCGCAAGTCGACGCCGCTCGAAAAGCTCTTTGATTTGACGCTTGTCGTCGCGCTCTCGGCCGTCTCGAACGTCTTTGCGACGTCGATGCAGCATGGCGACAACCTTTTCCAAAACACGATCGTGTTTGTCATGCTCTTCTTCGCCGTCTGGAATGCGTGGCTGCCGTTCACGTGGTTCGCGTCCATGTACGACGTCGACGACGCCTTGTACCGGCTCGCGACGCTCGGGCAAATGATCGGGCTCCTCGTCGTCACAGACGGCATCAAGCACGACAAGGATGAAGTCATTGCGGGGTACGTCGTTCTGCGCGTCTCGCTCGAAGGCCTCCTTCGCGGCCGCGCGGCGTGGTATGATGTGCAGCACCGGCACTTGAATTTACGGTCCATGGTGGCCAGCTGCACCGTCCTCGTTGGGTGGATCCTTTTGTTTCAAGCGACGCTGTCCGAAGAAATGTTTGAAGTCTGGTACTTTGTCCTTGGAGTCCTCGACATTACGCTGCCGAGCCTCGTCTCTCGCAGTAAGCAAGTCCGCTTCCACGCGCACCACGTCTCGGAGCGGTACGCCGAGTTTACCATCATCATCTTTGGCGAGAGCCTCCTCTCGCTCTCGCATGCGACCGTCTTGCATGGACCCCACGGCTTTAGCTATGACGCACTCGCGATCTTGATTGGCTCGACGCTCCTCCTCTTCCTCCTCTGGTGGTTCTATTTCTTCGTTCCGTTCGGCCACGAAATGGAGGCGAACCCGCGCGCATCGTTCCGCATTGGCCTTGGTCACTTTGTCGTGCATTGCGCGCTCGCGGCCTTTGCGACGGGACTCTACATGATCGCGCACGTCGCCAACGAGCACGACGTTACCGCATCGCATAGCAACGGCACGGCCTCGGCCATGTCGACGCAGACCGCGTCCCTCATGGTGGCGATCCCGATCGCACTGTTTCTGTTTGCACTGGCGCTCGTCGCGGGCCTCTCGTGGGCGGCGGTCGCGCGGTCGGTGGGCGTCGGCGCCGCTGAAGTGCTCATTGGCATTTACGTGACGCCACTCGTGAGCCTTCCGGCCCTCGTGTTCCTCTACTGCGTGCCCATGACCGTGCTTTTGCTCGAAGTCATGTGGATGGAAGGTGGTGCGACTCGGCGCTCGGAGCAAACGCCCAGGAAAGACACTTTCAAATAAGTGGTTGTCTCGCTGCAATCAAAGGAGTGCACTCCACTAGAGTAGCTCGCAAGCCGTTCTCAGGACCACGTGTGTGGCGCTATCTTTGCATTGACAAAGACGTCGCATGCACGTAAAAGTTCAACCACACAGATAGAGGCATCCAACAACAGAGACGAGAAATCATCTGCATGCTTCTGCAATTGCTCGCCGGCCAATCGACAGCCGTAACATTGCAGCTTGGACAGGACATATACCATCCAAGGTTGGTGGTAGCCATAACGACGGCACTGCTGCGTGAGGTATCATGTGAGATCGTACTGGACCGGTACCGAGCTGCGGTGCCGAGTTGCTGTCTGTCGGCCATTTGGTTGTTGAAATGAGTCCATATCGATGTAATTTACACTGGACTGTTTTTGGAGGCGAGGCTTGTTGCAGTGTGTGACTGACGGCGGCAGCGAGGCTTAGCCGTCGCGAAGGCGAGGCGTTGCAGATATCGAATTTCATCCCTCGTGCATTCCCCATTGCAGTAAACTCTTACACGCCCTAGTATCGTTGTAAGTGATGCCCATCCACGGTCGGCGCCACGAGGTCCGCGACAAAACTGCATATTTTGCGAATCGTGTTGACCAATGGCATCGACGCTGCCAGTGCAGAAGAGCATGTCGTTCCAATCCTTGCTCGAGTCGACGACGGTCGCGGTCGCGCCGGACGAAGCGTCGAGCAGCGACTCGCTCTACGACGGCGCGTCCAGTGGCGGCGATGACGCTTCGGACGACGACGACGACGACGACAAGAATGAGGAGAGCGACGGCAACGATGCCAGTGGCGCCAAGCGGCCGCGCCAGGAAGATACCTTTGTCGAAGACGAGGACGACTCGGACCTCGAGCGCCAGGTACGACAGCCCTACATCGCGGCCGCTCGGTAAAGGACCGCGTTTAGATCTGGGGCAAGCGTCGGCGCCACATTCGCGGGTTGCGCAAGCGGCGCAAGGAGAAGAACCTCGTACCGCCCGAGTTTGCCGAGCTCATGGGCGAGGCCAATGCTGCGTACATGTCCGGTGACCTCGAGCGCGCGATCGCGATGCTCAAGGACTTTATCAAGAAGGCGCCGACCGTGCCGGACCCGTACCATACGCTCGGCTTGATCTACGAAAAGCAGCACGACGTGCAAAAAGCCATCCAATTCTACCTCATCGCGTGCACGCTCACGTCCTCGGTATGCCCTTTTAATCGTCTGGACTTGGTGCCGAGTCTGTCTTAGGACGCTGCGCTCTGGCGGCGCGTGGGCGAAATGGCCAAGGAGATTGGGAATCCCGACCAGGCCACGTACTGCTTCAAGATGTACGTGCGTCGATATCATCATTCTTTACCAACGTTCATGTGCTTAGGGCGTGCCACGCCGATCCCAAGGACGTTGCGACCTTGTACGCGTACGCCGAGGTGTGCAAGGAGCAAGGCGACAACCGTCGCGCGGCCGAGACGCTCAAGAAGATTGCGTTGCTGGTAGACGACCACCGTCTTTGTGTTGGCGAGCACACGTATCTGCGTAGACCCCAGACGACCTCGCGATTTGGCTCCAAGTGGCCGAGTGCTTTCACTCGAACTCGCAAAAGGCCGAAGCGATCGACGCGCTCAAGCTCTGCATCCAACGCGCCGCCCACAACGACGAAGCGGTTCAATTTGGTATAAAGCCCATCAAAACGCCCGAATGTCGAAAATGACCGTGTCGGGTTAGAGCTTCACGCGGTCAACATGCTCTCGGACCTCTACATCACGCTCAAGCAGTACCCGGACGCCGTGACGCTCATCGAGGCCATGTTCGATCGCAAAAAGTCCTCGGACGACGACGAGATCCAAGATACGCTGCCGCTCGACATCGTCGTCAAGTACGGCATCTGTCAGCTCTTCCTCGGGGACATCGAGCTCGGCGACACCATGTTCCAGATCCTGTACGTCATCCTTTGCGTCAATGCATTTTCTCATAACTTTTTTCCTGGGGCTAGGTATGCGCACGACCTGGCGACCTTTGGGGACCTGCACATCGACGTCGCCGACGCCTACGCCATTGTCGGCGGCCACGACGCGACCGTCGTCTCGATCCTCGAGAAGCTCCTTGGCACCCCGAGCCTCTGCACCGATGTAAGTCGCCATCTCTTTTTCAATCGTTTTCATGTGGCGAAATGTGACGTGGTATATAGAAACTCTATGTGCTTTTGGGCCAAGCCTACGAGCGGCAAGGGGTCGCGGATGTGGCGCTGGGCCATTTTGAAAAGGCGCTCGCGGCCCAAGTGCAGTTTGCTGCCGTGGACCCCCACGTAAGTTGTTGTAATTGAGCTGTCGGTCGTATTATATGCGCCTTTGTGTAGGTGGCATGGAGTGCCCTTGCGCTGTGCTTGCAGCTCCAGCAGATTGCGCGCGGCCTCGAGCTCTTTGAAACGTATGTTGCCACCGCGGTGCTGCGTCCGCCGATCCGGCCGCACTGGGTCAACTCGCGGTCGTCGTCGGCCATGGCCAAGCGCGACGACCCGCCAACCGAAGACGGAGCCGACGCCGAGATGGACGACGAGGACATGGACGAGGACGAGGATGAAGACGACGACGAGGACGACGACGAAGACGACGAGGACGACGGTGAGGAGAACGACTCGATGTCGGGCTGGAGCGACCCGGCGTTCTCCGTGGACGCCATGGAAAATGCCATTCGCCTCAAATTGCTGTTGCTGTACGGTCGTCTGCACCGCGCCAACGGTGCTGCATCCCGCTTCTACCCCATGATGGACAAGACACATTCTCTTTTTTGGTGTAGGCAACCCCGACATGCTCTGCAAGGTCGGGATTCCAATCATCATGCTCTCGCTCCAGCAGTCGAAGCGCTTGATCGGCACGCGTCGTCTCATGCGCAAGATGCAGGTACCATCTCGCCTCGTGTGGCGTATCCTTTACACTTGGGGTTGGGGTTGGTAGCGCTACTACGACGACAAGTCCAACCAAGGCAGCAAGGACGCGTCGAATGCACCGGTCAACGACATGCAGGCCAACGTCTGGCTCACGATGCGGGCCACGTACGTCGTAAACCAAGACGACCCGGTCGCCCGAGACACGCTCATTGGCGTCGTCTTGCGCGTCGCCCAGCAAATCCTCGTGCTCAAAGCGCTCTCGAAAGCCGAGCACTACGAGCTCATCACGGATGTCGGCCATGCGCTGACCGAGATCGGACAACCCGCGTGCGCGATCGAGCTCCTCACCGAAGTCAACTGCAGCGACAAGGTCTCGGACCCGGCGTTGCGGTGCGTTCCACGGAACTTCCTGAAGCTCGTCTCATATGCGTGCTGTAGGTTCAACTTGCGCTTTCAAGCGCTCACGACGGCGCTGGCGTTTAATGAAACCGCATGGCGTACGAGTGCGCGCGCCTCAACGTCGTGGAAGACCCGCTGGACATGGGCTACTGGAGCCTCTTTGGCCACGTCATTTCGCACACAGGGGTCTTTTCCTGGCACCAAAAGTTCCTCGTACGCGCGTCTTCCTCTGACCAACCCTGGTCGATGGACGGAAATATCAATCTATCGAGTAGGCCAAGGTTCTCCGCGACCACCCCAAGTGCGTGCCGGCGATGATCATGGCCGGCCATCGGTCGTCGGCCTACGACTTTTCATCGCTTGCGGTGGGCGAGCTCACGCTTGCGCACCTCGAGCTCCCGGACGACCCGCTCGTGCTGCTCTGCATCGGTCTTGCGTACCTCAACTCGTCCATGCAGCGCACGGTGCAGGACCGGCAGCAGTCGGTGGTCAAAGCGTTCGCATTCTTCCAGACGTACCACGGCAAGCGCGTCAAGCAGCAAGAGCTTTTGCAGGAGAGCAATGGCTTTGGCGTCGACGTCGCCCACGTCGAAGGCTGGTACAACACGGCCCGCGCCTACCACCAGCTCGTGCGTTGCGTGCGCTCGATTGAATAATGCGACCTGAGACGATTGGAGTAGGACCTCAACCATTTAGCGATTGCCATGTACGAGCGCGTGCTGCGATTTCACGACAAGCATCCCGAGGTGCGCGCCGAGTACCGTCTCTGCCGCGAGGCCGCGTACAACTTGTCGCTTGTCTACAAGAAGAGGTACAATTCGTCCTGATATCATCGTCCATGGGTGCTGAGCACGATGAGTGTAGTGGTGCCACGGACTTGGCCCAGCACCTCCTCCACAAGTACTTGGTCATGGACTAGAATACATATATGGCTCTCCCCGCGCGAGTTAACGAGAATCGCATCCAACGGTATTAGGATTACATCAAAAGGCTCTACGACTCGCTACAGAGGCGGGGGCGCCAAAGGGCCAAGACAAAGGCCAGCGGTATGTCTCGCTGGACGACGAGCCAAGCAGAGGTGCACTCGCGATCCATCGTTGTCGCGCGAAGGACGTGGTAGAACGACGGCTTGTCGCGCGTACTCGAGACCGCCGATGGTTCATACAGGCGCACGAGGGCATGGGCGCCCGTGCAGAGTCGTTGTGCGATCGGTGGTCCGTGTCGGCGCAAGAGCGGGAGGAGTCGACCCAGCGCGGCGTCGGCCAAGGAGGCGTCGTGCGTCAATACCTCGATGCGCAGCGGGACACCGAGCGGTGCCATCTCGGTCTCGGAGAGAGAGACTGTCACGACGTGCGTTGGAAGCACCTTGTTGGTCAAGGCCACGTTGCGGGCCAGTGTTGCGGGCGCCAGGGTTAGGGTCTGCGTCGATGGGGACAGGTCCAGTGCCAATGGAAGCAGTTGGGCCAAGACCGGGCGTAGCGGTGGTGGAATCCCCGTCTCGAGGCGGCCCAGGGGGTGGGGGAGGGGGGTTAGGGCCAGCGCGCACTGGATCACGGGGCCAAGCGCGCGCACATCGAACGTGGCTTGCAGAATGTTGTCCGTGAACGAGTCGTAGAGCGAGACGTCCAAGAGGACACTAGCGTCCCAGAGCTCGCGTAGTGTGAGGTAGTACAGCGTGCCTCGCAGCGTCAAAAGCGTCCGCAGCATTAGCGGCCGATCGGCTGCGGAAGGGGCGTTGGGGTGGAGGGCGGGGGGCTGCAACGTCGTCGTTATTGTTGTCGCTGGCGCGTTGGCTGCGATGGTATCGTCCACAAGAGGCGTCGTGCCTGTCAGAGTCGAGGCAAGCACGCCATGTCCGTCAGGCGTCGGTGTCAAGACGAGCGTCTTGAAGAGCGGCGATAAAATGAGCGCGTTGGCATCGATGTTGTGGGCCAGCCGCCACTGCCGCGCCTCGTTCGGTTTGTAGCTCACAAGACTCGGACACACGCGAAGGACTTGCTCCATGGCGATGCTGCAGACCCACTCGCGCTCGTCCTCGATCGAGCTCGCGCGCACTTGGAGCGACCACACGTCCGTGAAAGCGCTCGCACACACTTCGTTGACGACCACGGTCAACGGCGTGCCTTGCAGGTGGAGCGAGCCGCGGTAGATGGGCGTCGTCGTCACTGGCATAGCCTGCGCAGACGCCTCGGCGGTGCCCGTTCGACAAGCACAAACGTGCCGTTCTTGAAGCCGACGGCGAGGGTGAGGAAAAGCCGGTCCACGAGCTCTGCGATGAGCGACGGCTCCGAGGGCTGCAAAAGGTACTTGTCACCGTCGACGAGAAGCCGCGAAATATCCGGCGCGAAGAACGTGAGGACGTCTTCCTGCGCCGTCCGCGGCTCGTACGCGACAAAGTGCAAGGCGAGTCCGTGTGCGATCGGTCCACGCACCACGTGGAAGAAGAGCGAGTGTCCGTCGACGACCAACGCGCGGTTGAAGACCACGTCGGGCGTCCCATGCGCGTGTTCGAGCAGCTCGGCAATCGCTGGGTCGACCTGGTGGAGCATCGATCCTTGGGTCAGCGCCATGCTACGACATGCGATGGGCGCCGGTGTTTGTGTGGAAGTGGAGGGTTGTGTACCTGGTTGACGCGAGACCTCGCTTGGCGTACTCGTCCAGCGCAGCTTGCTTTTGCATTGCTTCGCGCTTCCACCTCATGGCCTCGAGCTCCATTTGTTGCAACAAGCCCTGACAGTGCGTGAAACAAAGCAGAGGGGATGCCATGAATCGTCGTACCTCGACTTTCTCGAGCTGGGCCGACGTCGCGTCGAGCTTGACGTGCAGTGACTCCTTGCCAATGGCGGAGACGAGCCCTTTCACTTTGGTGTTGATGACCTTGCGCCGGTGGTCCGAAATGGCTTGACGCGACATGCTCGTGAGCTGCTCGATCATCACGTCGCGTTCCAAGCGCTCCGATTGCAGCTCGAGCTCGACGCCCGTGAGCTTTGTGACGGCCACCTTGAGCGCCGCCTCGAGCTCAAATACTTTCTGACCGAGCATCTTGTTGGCCGCGCGCTCGAGGTCGAGTTTGGCCACGAGCGTATCGATGAGTGCCTTGTCGTTCGTGCGCCCCGAGTCTAATTTGAGTCGCATCGCTTGGATCTCGTCTTTGGCTTCGAGCAAGTGCCGCTCGAGCTTGAGTACGCGGTCGCGCGGCACCGGCAAATGCGCGTCGGTCGGCTTTTCGGGCGACGGTGCATTGGCATCGTTGGCCTGGCTTCCTTCGGCGTCACTACCGCCTACTGTCGTCGTCGTCTGCCCACTCTGCAAGTCGGTCTCGAGCTGCTTGATGCGCGCTCGAAGCACGCGCATCTCACTGTACTTGGCCTGCATCTTGTCATGGTACAAGTGCCGGTTGTGCTGGCGGGCAACCCGTGGCGACATGCGCTTGCTCTCCTCCTGTTTAACGAGCTCAAAATACAAGTCGCTGGCAAGGAGTGGTCGTGGACTCTCGCTTAATGCGTCGACGCGCGGTGCACTGTCCAGCACGTCGCATGCCTCGGGGCCGGACGAGCGTGGCCGGCCTTGGTTGGATGTGTCGTTGCTGCTCCGAGGCCGCTGCGCGTCACCTTCGCCGCGGCTCGCAGGCTTGGGCACTTCGCAACCGAGCGCTGGTTTGAGCGGCGGTCGCTGCGGCACGATTTTCTGCTTGGCCCGCAGTACGGGCCGCAGCAGCGGGTGGAGACCCGCGCTACTACCGTTCTCGGTGTCCATGCTCGGCGGACGGGACGGCGACACGGCGCAGCGCAGCGCATGAGACTTGGTTCGAGGCGACGCCGACATTGGCCGCGAAACGGTTCCTGCCTTTCTGGTCGGTTGCGGCGCACGAAACCGCAGGTGCGCGTGTCGCGATCGTCGACACGCAACATCTCCGACCCTTTTTTGAGTTTGTTGACGCAGTGTCGCAGCGACGAGCTACTAGAATATATCAATGCCATTCATGTCCTCGTGCGATCTTGTGCCCGAGGCGATTCTGGTCGACGCCACCCCGGAGCCTCGTTCTCGTTCGGCTTGGCCGGAGCTGCCAACAAGACGCACTTTTTTCGAGTCGAAGGCTGCGGCCCAAGGCTACCGTTGACGCACGTTGACGTGTGACCACCATGATGTCGCCAATCCAATGCTGAACACGTTCTGGCTCGCAACGATGAAGGGTTCACTCTGAGATGCCCGAGGGGCTCATCACAAGGAGCCGCCCGTCGAACCGGTTTCTTGTTCCGCTCGAGCACTTGCAGCAGAAAGCCGAAACGATGCGTCTTTTCCAAACTACGAACGCCACAGGAATGGCTTTGTGACTTCACCCTCGCGTCATGAATGCGTGTGACCTTCGACGTGTACCTAAATCGAATTCAAGTGGACGGCTACGTTGCTGTCCATGTCCTTAGTTAGCAGCCACGTAGCAACTGCAGCAAGTGCGCGGCAGTACGCAGCAGGTCTTCGTCTTTACAGCTCGTTCCTACAGATCCCTGCGAACGACAACGCTGCATTTCGAGCTCGCAACCTCAAGCACGTGGCGTCTCTGTGAGTCCCACATCTTGCTCGGATCTCGCACCCGACTCGGCTCTGAGCTTCACCGTGTCGACTTGTGCGTCGTCATGCGGGGCAGGTAGCGCCTTCGGGGACTAGGGTTGCTACCATGGCATGCACCAATGCGACGATACGTCCTCAGCTCTGCCATAGACACCGCGTCCGTCTTGCGCCCACCTCTTTGTGCGCTGACAATCTGTCTTCATTTCGTGTCGTCAACATGTGTCGTCAACATGTGTCGCCTCAAGTGTCGCCTCATGTTTGTACAACATGACCCCATCACGACAACACCTCCTCATGTTTGTAGACCGTAGTTGCTCGAAGAAAAAGACAAGTTTTATTAGTTTCATTATTTTCGTGTTATGCTTGTTGCGCTAGGTGCTTGAGGCGCGCCTCGCGCAGGATCCGAATGGCGGCCTCGCCGATGGAGTTCCGGGAATGTTCCCAGGTGGCAGGTGCCACTTTGGGGGTCATTGGCGGCACCTTTGTGGCGGCAGGTGCCGATTGTACCAGCTGTGTGGTGCTCTTTGTGGCAGGTGCCGCTTTGTGCGTGATTGGCGGCACCTGTGTAGTGGCGTGTGCCGATCGTAGCGCGGCCGTTACGGCGGTGCACTTTGTGGCAGGTGCCGCTTTGGGTCGTGTTACAGCCGTGACAGGCGCCACTTTGGGCCGAGACACCGCCACCGGTTTGGTGGCAGGTGCCGCTTTGGGTCGTGTTACAGCCGTGACAGGCGCCACTTTTGGCCGAGACACCGCCGCCGGTTTGGTGGCAGGTGCCGCTTTGGGCCGTGTTACAGCCGTGACAGGCGCCACTTTGGGCCGTGACACCGGCGCCGGTTTGGTGGCAGGTGCCGACTTGACCGGATGGCGCCGGTTAATTTGCGGCCGGAACGTGCACTCCGCCATTTCGCGGGCGATTTTGAGCGCGGCACGTTCCGAGAAGAGGCGGGTGCGAGAGGCGGAGAGGCGATCGAAGACGGTTGTCATGGTGTCCGGATAACGTGTGATTGGCGATTTCGAGTTGAGAGTACAGCCAATACGAATTGGAATGCAATTTTACGCTACCGGTCAATTTCGTTGGCCGGCGATTCGATCCCCGGTACAACTGCACTTTTGTCACATTTGTCGTCGGCGCGTGCATGTACATAAACGTCATTAAAAAACGGCCGAGACGCGGCGCAAACGGAGCACGCGATCCGAGCGACGTAACCGCAGCGCCATATGGTATCCGACCCACGTGCAACTGTGCAAAAACGGCTGTTGGATCTACAACAGTCGTTGGATTTCAGAAATCTAGCAACCGCCATGGAGCGGTCAGTGGTCAGTGGGCGACTCTTGGCGACGACCGCAGGCAAGAAAGAGACAGCCAGGGTCGAGTCCATGGCCGGAGGAGACCACGCGCGAGGGCCCTACCAGGCAGCGCGATCGAGGATGCGCCGGTGCTGCTCACGCTGGAGGCTGGTGTGACGCCTGCGACAGCGGTGGCTGCGCGAGGTCGTGGCGCGAGGTCACCGTGCGCGGCGATGAGTAGCGTGCGCTTGACGCGACCAAGGAAAGAGGTTGCATGAACGAGCAAGGACGGCGGCAAAGATTTTGACGGACATACCAACGCAAGTTAGGGCAGGGCATTACAATCAAAGTAAAATTGGCTGCTCTTATACAAGTCTAACAGAGCGTCTATGCCCGTCGAACACTTAGCTCGACCAGAGCTCTTGGATGTACGCCTGGTTGTGCTGGAGGTCATGCACAAAGGTCGCCGCCGCGTCGGCCGAGAGGCCGCCGTGCTTCTGCACGACGCTGACGATCGCCTTGTGCACGTCGGCGCCCATGACCGTCGCGCCGCAGACGTACACGTGGCCGCCGTTGCGAAGGAGCTCGTACACGTACGCGCCTTCTTTCTCAATCAAGTGCTGGACGTAGACCTTGGCGGCCGAGTCGCGCGAGAAGGCGCAGTGCAGCTGCGTGAGCGTGCCTCGGGCTTTAAACTGCGCGAGCTCGTCCGCATACAAGTAGTCTTCCGACTCGCGGCGGCAGCCGAAAAAGAGCACCGTGGGGCCCACATTGGCACCCGCGACGCGCTGCGCGTCACGCTCCTGGAGAAACGCGCGCATGGGCGCAATCCCCGTGCCGGGGCCCACCATGAGAATCGGCGTCGACGGGTCGGACGGGAGCTTGAACGTCGACTTGCGCACCGTGACGCACGCAGTCGGCCACGACCGCACCTGCTTCTTGCCCTGCTCGCCGTACGGGTTGTGGCGCTTGGTCTTTTCCGTCGCGCTCGTGGGCAGCGCCATGCTGGCCAGGTGGTTCGAGCACACGCCGCGGAAGCGGCGGCCGTCGGCCAAGTCCGACTCGATCACGCCGAGCGTCACGTGGATGCGGCTCGGGTGGACCGTCGACGACGACGAGATCGTGTAGTAGCGCGGCTGGAGCGACGGCAGCACGTGGATCAAGGCCGTGAGCGGCATCGCAATCGACGGGAACGCCTCGAGGACGTCGGCGACGTTGCGGCAGCTGTCGACAATGAACGCATGGTACGCGTCCTTGCCTTCGGGCGACGCGAGATGCAAGAGCTTCTCCTGCTCGCTCGCGTTACTCGCAAAGTGCGCGAGGTGCGCGAGCGTGCCCTTGCGCGGCGCGCCGTTCAAGTCCAAGTACTTGGACAAGATGTCGTCGATGGTCGCGGGCGTCGGGAACGGGTGCTTGGCCGTCTTGGTCGCATCGAGCGGAGTCAGCGCGATCCATTGGTCGAGCGAAACTTGAGCGACGACGCGACGCGCGCCACGATCGATGCGTCGTTTTCCGGGAGGATCGCGAGGTTGTCGGCCGTCACGTACGTCAGCGGCGTGTTCTTGAGGTCAAATTCGAGGTGCAGCGTCGAGCCACTCGCCGTCGACTGCCGCAGCTCGCGCGTCTCGACGAGCTTGACGTGTGTGTTGTGGAAAAAGTGCTTGTTGGAATTCTGAATCTCGTCGTCCGTAAAGACGCGGGCCGCCGCGGGTTCGCCGACGACCTGGCAGTCAAACGAAAGGTGCGGCGGCTTGGTCTTGCTCGCATCGGCCGGCGCCGGCTCGTCGTCGTCGCTGCCCGCCTTGTCGGCCTTGCGCAGCGTCTTCCAGAGGTCGGCGCGCCACGCGTCAAAGTCCTCTTCGAGCGAGTCGTCGTCGTCGCCTTCGCCGTGGGGGTACACGCGCAATGCGCCGTGCTTCTCCATGAGCGTGTTGATCGCGCGGCCCACCGCATTGTACTGCTCGTACTGCTTGTTGCCAAGGCCAAAGACCGTAAACTTGACGTTGGCGAGGTGGCCCTTGGGAATCACCTTGTCGTCGTCTTGGAGGTACTTCATAAAGTCGATCGCATTGTCCGTCGGGTCGCCCTCGCCGTACGTCGCGACGACAAAGATCGCATGCGCGACGCGGTCGAGCGTCGTTGGGTCAAAGTCCTCCATGTCGATGGCCTCGACCGCAAAGTGGCCCTGCTCGTTGCCCGTGTCCGCGAGCGTGCGCGCAAAGCTCTGGGCCGTGCCGGTCTGCGAGCCAAAGAAGACAAGGGCGCGGCCACCGGGCGCTGCGCCCGACGTGGTCGCGGCCACGGTCGTCGACGTTGAAGCGGCGGTGCTGCCGGACGACGCAAGCGCCGCCCGGCGCTTCTCCTCCTGCATCGCCTTGTAGCGCGCCTCAAAGGCCTTGTCGGCCTCGGACGCGCTAGACTTGAAGAAGTAGATGGCCGAGATCGCGATCACGAGCACGGACCCGAGGTAGACGATGGCGTCGCTCATGCTGCTGCTGGTCGTCGTCCGTCGATGGGTTTTGCACACTGAGGCGGCGTGTGCCTGGCCCATGCTGCCTGCCTTTTGGACCAATCAGAGCGTACGCCTCCCTGTCACACCACTGTCTTTTATTGGGCACTGCATACAATGGCCAAGTACAGTGGTATAAAAATGCAATGCCGCCGCCTGTCCGCTCCGTGAACGCGGCATGTGCCACATTGGAATCGCTCTTGCGCGAGCACAGGAGAAGACCGAGAGACGTGCTGCCATCGAGAGCAAATGCTGCGCGAGGACAAGCAGTAAGACGAGCTCGTTGCGTGTTGGTACCGCAGCCAACAGTGCTCACAGTGAGAAGCATACTGGACTCAAGGCACAAAGAAAGAATGAAATGTGGCGACCGTGTGCAAGCGTGTGCTGCAAGCAGGGGTGCACCTGGCTGCAAGGACAGAATCGTATACTTGGTATCGTCCGAGTACTCGGACTCAATCGCATATTCGTAGCTGCTGCAGAGAGAGCGCCGTGTAAAGCACGCAGAGGGTCACACTCGTGCACGTCGGATCGGTCGCACGTGCACCGCTTGCCACGTCAGCATCCATCACATCTATTTTCGGCATTTTAAAAGTGGCAGATTGCCCTTTCTGAGCATTGCCAGCCACGAAGAGCTACAAAACTGCGAAGCTTGGATGACGCCACGCGTGACGAGATCTCGGTGCGATGACCAATCCGCTCTGGAGCATCAACATCGACTTGGCTTCTTGCCCCGTTCTGCATTAGAACAGAAGCACAAATCCCGTCCCACAACTTCTACTATCGACACACTGCTTTTTGCACTATCGATCGATGATGACCTGTGAATACTAGTACGTGGCTGTCTGGTTCAGCAAAGGCTGTTGGCTACGATACATTATAGCTATTGGCAACGACGATGACTACATCAAGGGCATAAGAACCCGGTCTATAGTACTCCACAAAACCCAAGAGATCCCTTGCATGTTTGTCTGTGCCCGGGCAGAAAACAGGTCTACGGTTCGGGCGTCCTCACACATGGACACGCGTCAAATGTACTATATGAAGCATTCATTATTAACTTTGGTAAGCCATGGTGTCCAGACACGCCTGTCGTTTTAGGCGGCCACGGAGAGCAGCGCCGGTCGATACTGCAGCGATGTCGGGCTTCTCACAAGGACGAGCCCCAATGGTGCGTTGGCGACGTGGGGCAAGAACACATCTTGGAGCGCTTCGCAGTGGCAAAAGCCCGTGCCCAGAATCGGGCTCTTGTTCTTGGTTTCGATCGCTGATGTCACGTAGCCAATGCACGCGCGGCCCTGTACAAAGCGTGAGCTCTCTCTCCGTAGCATGTTTCAACGCAGTGTACCGCGAGGCCAGTGCCCTTCTTTTGCTGCTGCTTGGTCGTGGGCGCCATGAACCCACTCCACTTGCGGTCCGCCACAAATGCCGCCACGTCGTCGTCCGTGGGCATGCAAATCTAGTCGTTTAGCGTCATTTCGACATGTCGCATCGGCGGTTTTCATAAACGTACCATCGCATTGACGTCGAGGCGGCCGCGCCGCGGCAGCTGCAACTGGACGCAGATAAGCGTCGGCATGGCCATGGGCATGAACCCGCGGTCTACATCATCGTAAGTATCAAGCAACAGTTGTACGCGCGACATGTCGCACCTTCCATCGCATTTTCCGATGGCTTGTAAAACGGGAACGGCGCCATGTAGGTCTCACCGCGGAGCACGCAAAAGTCGGGCGACATCGCGTCATTGAGCTCAAAGAGACTCGCCCACGACGGCTGGAACGGTGACGCGACTTGCAGCGACGCATACGAGACACGCTTGGCTTTCGGACGGCTCGCGACCTTGGCCTCTTCCGAGGCGTGCACGGACGCCCAGAAGGCTGCGCCGGCGCGCGTGTCAGGGTAGTCTCGCGGAAAGCTACACCAGCAGTACCCTAAGCGTTTGAAGCAGGTGCCATACGAACCTTAGAAGTCCGTGCCGCGTCCGTAGCGCATCAAGTTCGTCCATGCCAATCTAATCGTTTGTTCCATCAGCAAGCAAGTGCGACAGACGGGCGAAGACGCACCGCGGAGGCAGTGGCAAAGACACCTGCTTTCAACACGCATGGCGCGTACTCGGGCAGCGTGATGAGGTCGTAGCCGTGGGCGTGCCGCACCACGAGGAGCGGCATTGGCGCCAGGGCCCGGCCCGTCGCGGGCTTGCGGTTCACGGTGTGGTCGGGCACGAACGCTCGCCGAAGCTCGAGTCGAGTTTCGTGGTTCCAGAGGCCCGACACGGGCACAGACGCGCAAACATCCGTGGCCACGGCTAGCTTGGTTGGCTTCTTCGTGGCCTTTGGATTGTTGGGAAAGACGTCGCCGTACGTCGTGTCTTGATTGGCAGCATTGGCCCAGCGCATGACAGATGCGAAGAGCGTCGAGAGCGCTTCGAGCGACGGCTCGGCCGCCAGCGCGGCGCGGTCCATGGGCGCGGTGATGTCATCGCCCGTGATCGGACACAGCACCTTGGATTTGTCGACGTCCGACGGTGTCGCGAGGAGGCTCACGCTCGTAGCGACAAGCGGCTGGCGAAGCGGCAGCTCTCGCGGGTCGCAGGCGCTCCATGTCTGAATCACAGGCGTCGCGTCGTCTTTGGGCCAAAAAAGGGCCGTCGATGTCCCGTGCGGCACGACAAGCTGCTGCATGATGCGGCCGGCGTGCTTGCCCCGGATCTCAAACCGAGACAGCTTGCGTCGGCGGTCGTGGATGCGCAGCCTACACGTGGCATGAGCAGACGGAATCGACGATGGATGAGGATGGCCTCGTACCCGTCGAGCGCGGCCTCGCGAAGCGCGTGAAGCACTTCGTCGACGATACCCGGGTGGACCCATACCCAGCAGACCCGCGACGTATCGTCGTCGTCTGCTGCTGGCTGAAGCATGAGCTGGACAGGCCCAATGGCTTGCAGCGGGAAGCACGACGGATGGTACAACACGACGCTGCCCTCGACCGCGCCAGCAAGCACGTCTGGCGAAAGATCTCCGTCCATGCACATGGTGATAGCCTCTTCAATTGCGTCGAGTGACCCTTGGAGCTCGATGACAGCAGTGTACGAGACGTCGGCAATCGTCGCCGGTGCGTCCAGCGCCGCCGAGATGCTTCGGTCAAGTCGGTGCGCGGGCACTTGGAGTCCATACCGATGCTCCATGACGAAGCGCTTGACGAGCCAGCGGTGCGTCGGGAGGTAGTCGGTCTTGGCCTTGAGCAGCAGTCGTCGCCGATGCTTTCGGCAGCGCTGGACACTTGGGTCCGCTGCCTGCCTCTTCTTGTTGCGCAGGCGCACGGGAAATTTGTGCGAGTTGTAGGCGTTGGTTCGGCGCCGAAGATGAAAATCTTTGCGGCGCTTGAGGAGCGTCGCGTGGCCATGCTTCTCGAAGCCACTTGCGCGGTGCAGCTCGCCGAGCTCCGGGGCGCGGGCCGTGGCAAAGCTGAGCACCTCGACGACCTCCATGCGGATCTTGGTGGTTCAACCGATTCTAGTCGAGGCCATTGGCGGATTTCTTGTTTATTTCGACCAATGAAACGCACGTCTTTTGAGGGGTTTGGATTGGTCCATATTGCCCACAATATCGCCTTTGGTTGGTCCATTCTTTGGCGAAAACGACGAGCTTTCTGCCAATCAAAGAACACCAAAAACGAGCTGGGATGGCGCAGCGGCAACCGACGCGGCCCGCCGGTGGACGCATGCCAGCCACGTCCATCAAAGCGACGCGGAACCTCATGGGCATCGAGAAGCTTCCGCGCATCGCTTCGCCGCGAGACACGCCCGGCGACCAGCTCATGGCCAAGCCACCGCCCGAGGCCGACGACGGCGACGACGAGGCCCAGCGCGTCCAAGGCTATGACCTCCAATATTGCGAGAGCATGCTCGTCGCGATTGAGAAGGAAAGCACACAAAACAGCCAGCGGTACATGCTCAATTACAGGCACTTCCATCTCAATGCGACCAGGTACCTCAATATGCTCGAGTTCAAGGAAGGCAAAGATCCCAAGCTCGAGTCGATGCGTGCGGGGTAGCCTTCACCTGCATCACTGGTTTTCTGTACAGCCTGCCATATTCGTAGCTTCAAGTCACTCACGGACGAGCTGCACGAGCTAGAAGTGCTGTGTGCGAGCGGCTGGGACACGGACGACATTGACGAAGCGCTGCGTCGACTTCCTCGCGACGTGGTTGCCACCGAAGCCCATCGCTGGGCTTCTTCGTCATGAGCACAGCAATCAATACAACGAGTACGAGTAGCAAGTCACAGCTTGTTCATTCATGAGGTCTTGCATGCAGCGGCGCCTTTTCTCGCGACACCGAGAAGCCCTTCTTGGGCCACCGGAATAAATTTAGGTTATGCGGTGACCCTCCGATGCTGCTGCTGAGGCTCCATAGCTGCGGGCCAGCACCGCGTCGTTTCAGGTCCATGTCAAGCTGCAACTATTCTTGCATGGGAATCGTCCACCTTCAAAATAGAAAGGCAACAAAATATGGACGGTATTCACCAAAAGTTCAAAAGCTCATTACGTACTCTTGGTATTCACTCACATTGTGCAAACGCACTCGACAAAACCACGTGACGAAGCACCTTCGTTTAGTACCCGTAGAGCGCGCGCTTGGAGTTGAAGAACGTCGTGTTGGTGTAGACCATCTTTTGGTAGTCGCCGGCGCAGAAAGGGAAAATGATCGACGGGTCGCTCTCCGACGGCGCAAAGAGTGCCTTGCCAGTGTTGATCGAGACGTAAATCGCAAGGAAGGTCGAGACGATGACGGCGAAGTAGGCAAAGATCTTCTCGGGCAGCGAAATCGAGCCGTTGAACGTCTTGAGGTAAAAGACAATCGGGAGGATCATGCAGCACGTGGCCGTCGACGACGCACCGACAAAGTCGAGCAGGTCGCCAAAGTGATCCTGCCACGCGATCGCAATGGCCGTGCAGATGGCCACAATGAGGATGCGGAGACCGGCGGCCTTGGCGTAGTTGCCAGGGATGTTGTACGACGTCATCATGTCGGGGCCCTCGAGCGCTTCAGGCTTCTTGGCTTCTTCCTGGACCGCTTCGACGTCCACATATGCGTTCTCCGTCTCGTGCGCAATCTCAAACGAGTGCTTGTGGAAGCCGAGGACGAGGCGCTCGGCGATGAAGAAGGCCGGGAACATGATGACTGCGAACGCAATCGTGATGTGCAGCTGCATGAAGAGGAAAGCGAGGACGACGCCGCCGCGGGACGCCGCAAAGCCGAGTTTGTCGCTGTTGACCGCAAAGAGAAGGTTGCCAGGGATCTGACAGCCGACGACCCAGACACCCGTGATCGAGACGGCGAGGAAGCAGAGTGAGATGAGCGTCATGGTCACGAGAATGACGCGCGGCATGCGCGTGGGGTCCGAGTGCTCGCGCTGGAGCGCCGGGATGACGATGCCGGCGCCGTACGCGAGCGCCAAGTTGCCAAAGACGGTGGTGACGCTCTTGAACGAAAGGTCCGGCGGCGGCGTCGAGAGGCCGTCGTTTTTCTGGCTCACGTTGTCCACGAGGAGGTAGAGCGCAATGCCATCGGCGAGTAGCGTGCCGAGGCAGCCCGCAGCGGCCGCGCCTGCGCCCTCCTTGAGCGTCGGTACGAGGCAGATCGGGAGAAGCACAAGACCCATAAAGACGATCCACGTCGTCGCGTTGTACGTGTCGGGGAAGAGCGTCGTGAGGAGCGAGCCGCCGAGCACCAAGAAGACGATCGGGACCATCGTGCACACGAGCATTTGCGAGATGACGACAGCCCAGCGACCAAAGCCGCCCATGCACCACTCGCCAATGTCGCCGTACGTCAGGACGTTCTTGGGCGCGACCAGCATGACCTTGGAGAGGCACCACGTTGCGTATGTGTTGACGGCCGCCATGAAGACGAGCGCGAGCGATGCCCAAAAGTAGCCGGCACGCGCATAGTTACCGGGCATGCCGAGGGTACCGATGCCGTAGACGCAGCAGAAGAGCGAGAAGGCCAGCTTCATGTCCTCTGTGGTTAGAAAAGCCATGGTCGTTGCTTGGAAGGACAAGAACGGCGCAAATTGAAAAGTGAGTGGGGAGGAGGGGTTGGAGGAGAGCCGAGCGCTCGTGGCCGCAACTTAAGCCAGCTGGTGCTAACTCGTTCCTCAAGTAGGTGGCACGAATTCTCAGTTCTTGGTCGCACACTCCTCCGACAAGATCGATGACGTTGAAGTGGGACCAGGTGGCACGACAAGCCCATGATCCTACCTACATGTATGCTTCTACGGCGGCGCTCGTCGTGCAGCATGCGATTGGCTACATTGCAATGCAACGTGTTTGATTGGCTCAATTATATACATCATTTTTATATGGCTCACGTTAAATAAGATATTGACGTCACGCGACCAAGGTGTACAGCATGTCATGGTATGATGAATGCATACTCAACGGCCAGGTGTCCACGTCCCAGTTTGCAGGGCTGGGCAGAGCAAGCAAATCACCGTACACGCGGAAAGAAAAGCGTGGGCAGTGAAGGGATGAGCAATCGGCCTTCCCTTGGCTATCTATTCGTTCTGGATTAGGACGCAAGGAACCCAGCTTAGTTTGCGTTGGAGAAATCGTGATGAATTCTAAAGGAGCCAAGCGTGGTACACCCAATCTGGTCGATCACCTGTTCGTGGGCCTAACGGCAAGTTGTTGACATGTGGCGGAATTAACCTTCTACATCAAGGACGACAATGCGATCTGATCAAAGTTCCTTTACGAAACAAGAGTCGTCGAACGCGATCCAAACCCTCTCGACCATTGTTTTTCGACGCGACAATGTTCACTCATGTCCTCTGTATGGATGGATGTCAAAGTGCAGAAAACTTTCGCTCATTTTTCAAGCCCCCGCAGCCCCCAAGAGGCATTCAATGTTTCCGACATGCCCGCATTTCGTTTCAAAGAAGGTACTGTGTCCAGCAGTTGAAGAAGTCAGATGATTACAATACCCTAGAAGCGATATCCTAAACGACAGATCACTCTTCAACAATCCATGGGTACCCGGAGGGGCGGCAAAGCCGGATAAACCTCTTAAATTTATTGTCCTGGCGGCCATTGAAAATTCCGGCTCGGTGTACGTAAAATGGGGATCTGAAATTTTACGTACACAGGATACAAAAAGAGAGGTAAAAGAAGATGGAGGTTATCCGGTGCAATAAAAACGCGGTGGTGCGGCCCAGTTCGCGGCCTGTGATACCAGCGATGCATTTTCACCAATCATATACATGAATCATCGAAAAGCTGTGGATTTTGTGCATTTCGACCAGTAGTGGCGTTAAGGTCTATAAGAAAAGGAGTTGATTGGCTAAAACTAGTGATGGCGTCAAGTGCGCGCGACAGAGCATGCAACAGATGGCGCGATAGAGCCCCTGGCCAGAAGCCAATCGATCGCGACCATGACGCGATGCGCGTCG